CAGATGTTATAAAAAGGGATCACCTATTTGTGAGAGGTGAATGTTTGTTTGTGCAGCACAGCTGTTAGTTTGTTTAAGGGTAGATTGTCAAAACTCTACCATATATGCACAAGTTCTGCAAATTCAGATCTGTTAACTGTCAGTGGAATGTCAAAATAATGGATTTTTCTTTGTTGAAAGAATACAAAATAAATATATTTTGAATAAAGTGTAGGGTCTGTTTATATTTTGCTGTTGCACTGTAAACATATTTATTGGCCATAATACTGAAAAACATATATACGGTACAGACCAAAAATTTGGACACAACCTGCAAGAAAGCTCATTTACTAACCTGACAGGTCACACCTGTGAGGTGAAAACCATTCAGGTGATGACCTCTTGAAGCTTATCAAGAGGTCGTCTGTGATTACTGTGATTTGCATTAATCATATTTACCTTTTGCAGTAATCACAGCAAAAGGTTGCTACTTTTGAAGAAACTACAATATAAGGCACATTTTCAGTTGGTTTACACTTTTTTGGTTTAGTACACGTGTCAAACTCAAGGCCCTGGGGCCAAATCCGGCCCGCCGTAGCTTTTTTATGTGGCCCTCCACAGACTACACTAAACACTAAGTGTGAATAAATATTATATTATCAATCCTATCAATGCAGTTTTTTATCTGTTTACTGCCAATTTATATCAACCAATCCCTCCAATTTCTTGAGTATTTAGTTGATGTATGATTATAGTCCATGATTTATACAGCGAGTAAATAAACAGTCACATTATTATAAGTTCCTGAAGGGAAATCTTCAATAATATTATGTAATTTTAAGAATTCATTGACATATTAACCGTTTGTGAACAGGTTTTATCAACTCATTCTGGCACAACCAGCCCTTTAAGAGCCTTCATGATCTTGATTTGGCCCAAAACAAAAATGAGTTTGACACACCTGGTTTAGTCCATATTTCCACATGTGTTAATTCATAGTTTGATGCCTTCAGTGTGAATCTACAATGTCAATAGTCATGAAAATAAAGGAAACTCATTGAATGAAAAGGTGAGTCCAAACTTTGGTCTGTACTGTATGTCAAGAGTAATGACAACATTTGTACTCTTATCGAATTAATACCAACTGCAAACAATCATGTTGGTAGGAAAATTGTCACAAATGGTTATCTGTTAGTAATAACATGATTAAAACATTGCCTTGTACATATAACACTTTCCCCGACTAAGTAAGGGTAAGAAAACAGAGAACCTGCAAATGCTGCCACTATTTAGTGCTGTTTTGAAGAAGAGGCTTGTATTTTTGCAATAATAAAGAAGATTTAATACATAGAAATTAGTAGATTGACCTTGACCTCAATGTTGAAGGAAACTAAAATGTATTAGTGTTTTTAAATAAACCATAGAAACAAATTGTAACTCATTCATGCATTTAAGTTTTACAATCGCAATGTTTACACAGGACATACTGACATAATATCTGACTTGTTAACCTGGGCGATTTAGAGAAACTATTCCCTCAGCCCATCACTGATCATTTGGCGGAGTCTTACATAAAGATTAGTAATTTCATATACATCATCTGTCATTACCAGTCTGTGCTCTGTCATGAGTTCAGTGCATAAGTGAAATACATCGACATCACAGGGAAAGTCCTTGAAATGACATTCTTCTACACATATTTCCAGCTTTGTTAGATTAGCAGACTGTAAAAAGTTTGGAACCCCATACAGGTTGGGAACACCATGCATTAATGTGGGACGACCAGGAGGAGCCCGAGGATTATTTGTAGATCGTATTCGATGGTCATTCCATGTATGAACAACTTCATCCAGCTCCATCTGTATGAAAAAAAATTGAAAAAAATAAAATAAAATAGTTGTTAAAAAAAAATTCATGCTTCTGTATTATTTGTAACTTATTTCAAATTTGTGTGCTAAAAGTAAGAAGTAAATTTATAGTACCTGTATTGTTTGTAAGAAGCAAAACTGGATCAGTGATTTGTCCAGAAAACTGTCAACAAAATAGCCATCAGCTTTAAGCTGGTCGAAATGTTCCATCCAAAACTGGGTACATTCACTTCTTAAAGTGCACCACCATCGCTCTATCCTTTGATTTCCTGTACTCGGACCGAGAATAACAGAGTCAAAACCATTTTCATTCTCGGTGTTGTGCAGAAATCTTTGCATCGCTGCCACATAAGTGTTCTCTGTGCCATGATCCATTCGTATCTTTTGAGGAAATCCATTATACTCCATCACAGCGTCAATGAAATAGCCAGCAATAATGTGAGGATCACTATTAGTCTTATATGCTTCGAGCCAGATCATTTTCCTTGAAAAGCCATCTATGCATCCATTAATACATATCCCATAAGGCTTTAATTTATCGTACCCATCGATGTGCCAGACATAGTTTGGTCCCCGACTGACATATAAGCGTCGTCTCAAGCGATTTTGTGCACGCAGGTCAACCCGGTTGGGATCCAATAGGCGCATCAAAAGACGTACTGTTTCTCTGTCTGTGACTATGCCAGCCATCCAACATTTCTGGTGCATCCACCTGTAGCCGTGCTGTCTCCCAGATCCTTGTAGTTGATGCTCTATAAAAGAGGCCACTTCTGCAACATCTGTCTTATTTTTTCTACGCCAAAGGCGCTTCTTTTGCAGTCTTCTCTCCAGCGTCCGGAGACTTAATTTGACATTATGGGTTTCTTCCAAAACTCCCAAAATTTCAAGATTAGTAAAACCACTTCTGAAGTATTGCTCAATGATGTTATCAATATCCATTTCTTTCTATCAAGCTGAGCATATTTCAAACTATAGGGCCAACTCAAGTTATCTCATTATAATGAGATACTATCTCATTATAATGAGATACTATCTCATTATTTTGAGATACTATCTCATTATAATGAGATAGTATCTCAAAATAATGAGATAGTATCTCATTATAATGAGATACTATCTCAAAATAATGAGATAGTATCTCATTATAATGAGATACTATCTCATTATTTTGAGATATTATCTCATTATAATGAGATACTATCTCATTATAATGAGATACTATCTCATTATTTTGAGATAGTATCTCATTATAATGAGATACTATCTCATTATAATGAGATACTATCTCATTATAATGAGATACTATCTCATTATTTGATGCTATCTCATTATAATGAGATACTATCTCATTATAATGAGATACTATCTCATTATTTTGAGATAGTATCTCATTATAATGATACTATCTCATTATAATGAGATACTATCTCATTATTTTGAGATAGTATCTCATTATAATGAGATACTATCTCATTATTTTGAGATACTATCTCATTATAATGAGATACTATCTCATTATTTTGAGATGCTATCTCATTATAATGAGATACTATCTCAAAATAATGAGATAGTATCTCATTATAATGAGATACTATCTCATTATTTTGAGATAGTATCTCATTATTTTGAGATACTATCTCATTATAATGAGATACTATCTCATTATAATGAGATACTATCTCATTATAATGAGATAATTTGATTTAATTTAACAAAAACGGGCTACATAATTTGTGAAGTAAAAGCAAAGAGTGAATGTACAAAGGAGAAGAGCCAAATTGCTGGACAACACTTGACAGTTTCAAGTTTAGGAAAGAGAATTGTGGGATTAATGGGTTAAGTAATTTATTCAGATTTATTTTGTCATTTCATGTTGTAGTTTGAGTAATTTACTTCACCTTGATGGGCATATTCTCTTTGAAATAAATACAGATGATGAAGTCCACTATAAGGATGGCTATGTGACCCTGAAATATATTTATCAACTAGAAATAGTCTTAACAATAACATTTAATTCGTTTAGGCCACCGTGCAGTTGTTTTTTGTTTGTTTTTTTCAAAATGTTACAAATACTTTTGTAAGAGTTCTCTATTTGTGAAAAGTCATAACTAAACAGAAAAAAAAACTGACATAGAATGGCTTAAGCACATTCTGAGTAAAAATGACACAGGGGTATCTTATGAGACAATAGAAATAATATATTTCCTCTTTTTAACATATATCTTAACAAAAGATGGCATGTCAATAATTATTTATGCTATCTCAATAACTAATGGAAAGCCTCACTCAAATACTTTTAATTGCTAAGCAACTTTTGGATATTTCCACTGGTTTTCTTGATGACTTGTCTTTTGCAGAGATTTTTAAGTATTTGAAATGCCTACTTGTCATCACTCTAATCTTTTGTTCCCTTCTCAGCTTCTCCAGGTGTGAATAATTTAGGGCTTGTGCCGTACGATCAATGACAGAATAATACAACTATTTAAATTCTGCCACCCCTTAATTTTCCTCCCCCATCTGGGAACTTTTATATCTTTATGGAAGCACCCCTGGCACAGTCATTTCCATGCTCAGCATAGATGTCATGAGGTTAATAAACCTTAGTCTAATTAGTTTTTTTTTTTTTTTTTTTTTTTTTTGTAACTTGGTCTGGTCTCGATTTACCTGTCCTACAACTAGAGCTAATTTAGACAACGCCCTGCTCTACTTCTGCATTATTCAAGTTTACTTTGTCGGATACCAGTGATAACAGACAGGTGACATTTGTAACCCACACATCATCGGTTTTGTTTAAACTGAGATACTCTCAAGTATGTGTGTGATGAAACATAACGTAGTAGGAGTTGTACACGACACAATCACAAGAAACCGCATCACACAGAGATACACCCATCTGTGGAAGTTCAACCATGTCTTGTTGTATTTTCTGCAAACTGACCTATCGAACAGTGCAGCATGGTGGATCAACTTCATGTTACAGCGGAAGGATTCATGCAGTTTGAAAGATACATTACAGCTGCTTTGTTTAAATAGATGTGTCTTACTGCATTATGTCTTCTTCCGACAAATTGAAATGACTTTCAAAACTCAACAGCAACATAAAAGCTGAATATGTCAAAAGCTTTGTGCACTATTTTCTCTTCTGCTTTGCAGGCTTATAGGGGAGGAGTGAAACATGCCTCAGGGAGGAAGAGTGAGGGAAGTTACAACAAAGACACACCCAGGCCAGCAAAGTTTTTGAGGCAGTCTGTGGAGCAAGAAGAGGGTGTGGCCTTTTTTGCACACTGGGAACAGATAAGTTGAGTTTGCCTTGTAAAGAGGTGCATGAGTCACAGTCCTGAACAGTGAGCCGTTCACTTTCACTCCGCTGGACTCTCTCTCTCACACATACAGTCCAGCTGCACAAATCAAACCCTCTTTTCTCTGCTCTCTTTTGCTCTAGCAGTTTTTAGACAAGACTTTTTTAGGGAGTAACAAAGAAGTAAAACTCCCAGCCATGAAGGACAAACTGAAGAAAGGAGGAGGAAGGAATCATGTCAAAACTGGTGAGTAATCCCTGTAATCACAGGTTTTTCTCTTGTCCCTTCTTTTCCGTTTAGTGGATTCTTCTCCTTCGAGAAGAATGTGTGGAAGTAGGGTGGGAGATCTGGCACAGCACTGACGCTCTAACATGGCTGGTGCTAACTTTCTAGCTGCTTGGGGAAAGTGCAGTTCATTTTTTCTGGTTTTAGAGCATTCCTGATCCTGACACATTCCTTACAAAATGGCTACCCCCCTTATAATACTGTAACAATCTAGTTATAACAATTTCAAAGAGTAGATTTATTATGAGAAGAAGGAGCAATGCTCTCCAGTGTGACTTCTTCGCCTTTCTCAACATTTGCCACTCCCCTTTTTACAGAGTTGAATGATTGAATTAGGGTTCAGTGTGTGTTGGCTCATCTCCAAATTAGACTGAGTCAAACTTTTTCCTGTAAAAAAATAAATGTTGTCACCACAATAAAACTGAAAGGTGGCGAATTTAATTACCTGGACGCTTTGTGTTTTTCCAATTACACGTAAATGACAATGTGGTTTTGTATTAGTTTGTTTATGATATTTTAAACTTTCTTATAATCTTTAAAAGTGATCTCAATTCTTCGAAGCTTTTAGAACGTCTCTCAAAGTTGACCATGCAGAGGAGTGTTTGTCAAGCAATTTAACACCAACTTATAGATCATTCATGCATAAAAAAATAACAATCAGAGCCATGTTTCCAAATTACAGACGTTTTTTTTAAACATCTTTAACCACGGTGTTATTAGCAGTTTTTCACTTATATGTGTCAAATTTCTAAGTTGCTCCAATCTGAGCAAAAAATGACACATTTTGGTAAAATGAAAACTACTGTTTTAGAAACTGAAATGAGGCTCTCAAAGAAGCCTTTTTTTTTCCTGTTAAAATGAAGTAGCAACTCCTGTAGAGAAAATAAAGGATGCCTTCTTAGCTACCACAGGGGAGGCGCGTTCCTCCAGCCAATAGCGGCCACTTGTTGACTGGAAGCTTTCCAGTAGTAAAGCAGATCCAGATTGACAGCATGAGCAGATAATCTACTGTAGTAAGGAGAACAGTAATCACACATAGATCAGGATTTGTTGGTGTTGTGGGCCTTCAGTATTGAATGGAAGAAGTCAAACTTTTTGTGTCTCTCGTTACACTGTACTGTCTGCTGATGTCAGATCTGGGTGTGGTTGTCATTTCACCTGGAGATGACATCAAGACCAGCAGGCAAATGCAACAGGTTTAGTCACAGATCAGTTTGGGGAACACGCTGAGTCCTGCTTTGCCTCTGGTTCTACATGTGAGTGTAAATCAGTAGCTACGCCCCATTTATCTTCTTCTTGGCATGTTCTTCTCTTCCTATTTTTTTCATTAAGACTCTTCAAGCTAGCTGACGGGGATTTTTGAAAAGGTCTTGATAAACAAAACATAAACGCACTGATAAAATCAGAGCACATCTTCTCATTGTATTCAAGTTATCTTTTGATACAATTATCCAGGTATTTTCCAGAAGAAAGTTTCCATCATTTTCTCCTGTTTCTACAGACACTGTAATTATTCACAGTTAGTTTGGTTTCTCTCCGTATAATAGATGTAATCAGTGCAGCCAGCGGAGATGATGCTGTTGATATCAAACAAGATGAGGGCACAGCGTTTCCTGTGAAGATCCAAGGAGCAGGAGTCGAGTCGTTTGAACTGCAGGTACAAAAACAACAGTGAGAGAGGCGAGACGGCATTTTACTTTCACCCTCATCCATAACCCACAAATTTATTTTGTGTTCATGTTTTGAGATCCATTCTGTGTTTGTTCTGTGTAGGTGAATGCATTTTGGCTCGTTCAAGATGCAATAATGGCCTTGCTGTCAAGGAATGAGGTGTGCCCACGTTCGAACTTGTCTCTATCTCTAGCTGGGACAACACTGGATCCCCACTCCGATCTGCAAAGCATCAAGGGCCTTAAAGCCGGAGCTCTCATTCGCCTGGTGGAAGGTATACTCTTTTATTTCACTTTGTTTCTTCTCGCTGTGAGTTCACGCTGTAGCTGCACGATTGAGTAATGATTAAATCTAGTGACATGACATATTTGTCCTTTTGCTGGTTAGTATCTTACATCAGTATTTTAAAAATATCCTCACCCCATGAACTTTTTGACATTTTGCATATAAATGAAGTCTCCTTAAATCCACTGTTTTAAATTTGAGCTCCCCAATAAGTCTAACTGAATTTAAGCTATGTTGCAAAGCAGAAGGGGCAGAAAATACAGGTTCGAGATGTCGAAAGCTTTTAGGCAGATACTCCAAAAGACTTACTAACTGCTCTTGCTTAAGAAGAGACAGGTACAGAAGGGTACAAGGGTACATAAAATGGATTAATGTTATTATTAAAAGGTTAGACTTAAACTAAGACTTAAACTCAACCATCTGCTCACCACAATGTTCTGGATGCTTTGTTAGCAATGTTGTTCATTTCACAGGTTCAGCAGACCTTTCCCACATCACTGTGACTTTCATAAAGACGGTCAGGCTACACTGGATGCTAACTAATGCATGTCTCCGCAGAGCCTTATACGTCCCACTCCGCCAGGGTCCACTTGGCTCAGGTTGTGGAGCTGCTGAGAGCGTCCGGACCTCACGATGCACTGAGAGAAGGACAATCACCAAGCGTACTGGAGACACTCACACACACACCTGGTAAATGCACAAAGAAACAGCCCACTGAAAGGTGAAGGCAACACTAAATGGTTTCTGACTCATACTGAAATCTCTCTCTCTGCCCCTACTACAGACTCGAGCCTACCAAATGGAAAGAGCCTGAAGCGTTCATTAAGCAATTCAAAGGGAGAATCAGCCAACCAGAATGGACCCCCACCTGAGTACCTCTTGCCTGGCTCCTCAGAAAGACCCCTTATGGCTCTGCTGCCACACAGTTCTCAGCCAGAGGTGGATTCATACCAGAGTCTATCTGGGAATTTGACTTGTTTGACCCAAAGAAAACACAAGTTTAACATTTTCCTCTTTATCTGTGTTTCAACAGCCCCCCAGTTACCTGAAGGACTTGTCCCTCAGCTGCTGGCACCCCCCACCAGGACACAGGAAGCTGCAGGGAGACTTCATGTACTTGACAGTGGTGACAATAGAGGGTCGGCATTGTGATATCACATCTTGTCCCAAAGGTTTCTTCCTGAACAGGTGAGCACAGTTACAACAGAAATTGTCTTATTTTCTGACTTGACAGCAATAATTAAATAACTAAGTGTTTTGATACTAGAGCAATATTATTATGCAAAAATATACCATGTTTTTTTTTTTTAAATAACAAACATGTTTCAGGTTTTTTTGGGTGGTGGGTGTTATTAATAACACAAACCGGTAATCGTGAAGTTGGAGAAAAGAATGCAGTTTTTAAAATGTCCGGTGTGCATTTATTTGTGTTCAGTCATATTTACTTTGATTATACTAAATACAAACATTAGTAAATAGAATTCACCTGTGTGTAGCTTTTGCCAATAATATCAGTTACGTTAATTCTTCAGTGTTAGACAACATAGTTGAGCACAAAGTATCGTGAAGAGTGAGGAACACTTAAGACAAGTCAGAAAGAAGGAGAAGCTTAACGCACAGTAAGGTTATAAAACAATATCCCAGGCTTTGAAATGTTATGAAAAGCTGCGTAAAGCATGGATTGAAAGTAGAAAAAGGATGACATGTCTGCAAACCGTACAAGGAGATTAGTGATTATCTAAACTAACAAGCCAGACAAGGACAGCATTAATTAGAGAAGCTGCAAAGATTTCAGTGATAATTCTCATGGAGCTTCGCCATTAATTCAGCATTTCGGAGAGTGCTGAAAGAAAAATATTTTAGAAGCTGGATAACACTTGAGTCTGGAGAGGAAGTTCCCTTTCCCACAGGACAGGACACTAAAACACTGCCAGTGCTACAACATGACAGTAGATCAAAGTATTTCCAGGTCATGGTCCAGAGAAAATTTACTGAGACTTTTTGTAAAGGCGATTCAGTCTCACTAAGTTGGACATATTTTGCAAAGACGAATGGGCAGCAATTTTAGTTTTTACATGTGAAAATTTGGTAGATATACTTAGAAAGATTTGCAGCAGTGATTGAATAAAATATTGCTTTAGGGACTTGCCAAAATGACCAGATTTCTGTTTGGAAAAACAATCTGAAAACCATGAATCAATTTATTTTCATTTAGCAATTATTCCTTAAAATGACATGCGCAAATGTTCTAAGGATATATCTGGCTTTGTTGGACACTGCATGTACATCCGTCCATATACGCACTATATGGATGGATGTTCATTTTTGCAAATGAACAGTTTTAACGTTTCATATTTATTTTTTTAATGTTTAGGTCTACCCATGATATATTTGACCCTCGTCCTGCGCAGTCTACTCCAGTCTGTCACTGTCTCACCGACTTGCTGTGTCATGTCAGTCCTACTTTCAAACAAGCCTTTACCACACTCAAAAACAGGTAAGTAATATTAAATACCACTGGATGCTGTAAGAACTGCTGTGGCTGAGTGTGATGGATGTGAATCTGCATAATGCCTCTCATTCTTCAGGCCACCACAGCCACCAGTAGAGGCAATGCCCACTCCTTACCACACGCTGTGCTGGCTCGGACCTCCCTGCGCCTCTCGTCTCCACAAGAACACCTTCAGTAGATTGGGGGTGGATGAGCAGGCGGCAGCACAGGTTATATACCACACAGCAGTGGTTTGCTGTTGATTTTAATTGTGTATATATTGCATAAAACATAAATAAACCAAGTCTAAGCAGCTTTGTGGGTCTCACCTGTAGGCTCCAGACTGGAATGAGGAGTTACAAGCGGCCAGAAATCTTTCCCAGGGGAGTCTGGAAGAAAGGCTGCAGAGAGACAAAGTTTTGCTACAAGTAAGAAATAAGCCAGTGAATTTTTTTGCTCATGACAGAAGTCCAGTTTCTATATCTTTCTGGATTCCTTTGTCGGTCCTCCTCTTTTTCACTCTCGCCTCAGGTTAACAGTGCTTTTGTAAGGACTGTTATGCAGGCAGCTGAGACGGTTGTAGATGGATTTGTTGAGCCGGTAAATGGAAACCCTGAGGACCCAGCATTCCTTTGGAGAGGCCTGTTCATGAGTCAGGGGGCCGCAAGTCCAGCGTTTGGTGGTGAGAGAGGTCGCAGGTAATAAAAGTCTAAAGTCTTTTTGCATACATGGGAGAGAAGATGCACAAAACTGTATATTTATGCAGACTCCACAATTGCTGTCACTCCTTGCAAAGATTTGCATAAAAACAGCAGAATAAATTGTTATTCAAACTCGTACAACCTGAGATGAGACTCTTTGCTGCAGTTCTCTAAAAGTGAGCTTTGGAGATATTTAGCTTCCTTACAGTAATGAAATATTTAGTGTGGCATTATACCGTATTATTGTTAAAAAAGATGAATTTATGTCGAGGCATTTTACAACTTGGGCAGGGGTTTCTAATGGATTTTTTTAAAAATTATTTTAGTATTTTCTGATCTGCTTGCAGGGCAGCTCAGAGGTTGGAGCTTAAATGCGTGCAGGCTTACAGTGACTTAGAGGGGCTGCAGGGGCTGCATACTTTACCCACAGCCATCGTGGACTACAGAGGAGTGCGTCTGTCGGCCCAGGGTCTGGCCCCCGGGTTTGAAAGCTCAGAGCAGGACCAAAAAGATTCTCCTGCTTCAGGGTACGTCTGACCTGTGACCTATATTTGAACTGTGTGAGACTTCTATTGTCCATTTGCAGCTAAATCTGTTTCTTCTTCTCTCCTCAGAGGTTTGCTTTACGGGGTGAACGCAGGGCCCCAAGAATCCCGTCAACGCAGACGGCTGCTAGCCTTATTGGCTCAAGCCGCCAAAAGTCTGTTCATCCAGAGACATGTTGTTGTGGCCCCCAAGGGTCACCAGGTGCCTCTGTTCACCTCCCTGGACGCTCAGGGCCTGCTGGGGGCTGATGGGAGGTTCTACCTGCTAGATGTATTCAGAAGCTTCCCAGTTGATGCCAATTTCTGTCCAGAGGAGGAAACACAAAGTCAGACAGCTGCTGGGGAGGAAGAGAGCAGCAAAAGCTGCGAAGAGAATGAGGAAAAGAGCAACAGGAATGAGAAACAAGGTTGGCCAGAGAATTATCAGAGCACTTCTGGGCTTCCAAAGAGGTTTCCTCACAGTCTCTGTAGGCTGAGGCCAGAGCTGGTGCAGGCTTTCATTCAGCACAAGTGAGTCCAATGTGAAAGAAAACTTTTACATTCAGTCATAACTTTATTTATTATTATTATTATTAAGTTTAATATTCTTTGTTTATTGTCAGACATTGTCAGTTTACCCAACGTGTGAAGGAGAAGATGGATGAAAATGGAGGATTTGAAGAATGTGCAACAGCTTGTAAGGAGTGTTTCAGCACATCCTTGTGAAAGAACATTTAAATCCTGTTTAACACGAAGCACACGTTTTAATTGTGGACTAATATTACTTTTTCCCAGGTGACTCTCGAGCGACAGATGCCGTACGAGCTGCATGCAGAGACGTAGGCTCCGTCAGTGACATCATCTTTGAGATGCGCTTTAACCCAAATGTTTTCTCTCCAGGTATACACTTGAACTATACCTTCTCAGAAACAACAGACAGACAATAAATGTTTACTGGAGCATACATTTCTTGTGTTTTACATTCAGGAATAAGTTTTCCTTCCTCTGAGAGTGCGTCAACAAACCTGCAGGAGAAGTTGCTGAGAGAAGCTGCAGCTTTCATTATCACACACCAGATACCAGACTTTGTGCGTGTCCTCAATGTTTCAGATTTTGTGCTACAGGGAAATTCTCTGGGACAACAAAATCAGTGCATAATACATTTTAATGATTGTGTTTACAGTTGCAGTCCTGCCTACACAGCAATGAGGCGCCGATGGACGGAGCATCTCTGAGACAGGCGCTACACCAGAGAGGCATCAACCTCCGCTACCTGGGGCACGTGGTCAAGGCTATTTCCCAGTCAGAACACAAGGAGCAACTCAGGCATATAATGGTATGTTTAGTTTCCTCACCTTTAATTCACAAATTTAAAATGGTCTTATTGTGACTTTTTTTTTATAATGTTCTTCTTTCTCCTGTTTTATATAAAACAGAGATCAACAATAGGTGAAATTTTCACCCGCTCAGCAAAAAGAGTGTTCAACCATTTCCTACAGGTACTTTGCAGCATTCAGTAATATAACTCCAATAAGTTATGTCTGGAAACCTTAATACATGATGGGTGGTGAAAGACTTTTCCAGTTGGAAGTTTACATTCATTCCCTGTCAATAGTCTGATTTGTGTCAAACATTTTCGGTATCATACTGCAGGTTTCTCACAACGGTCTGCTTTAAATTTGAGTCTTGCAGACTTCCCCATTTTACCTCCAAATGTAACAACTATCATTTGGCCTAAAACATCACTTTGTTTTTATCAGACAGATATATTTCCAAAGAAGGTAAATAATTATGGCTGCATTTATATCTGCTTTCCTATAATGTCACACAATGAAGCAGTACTTGAGGTGTCACCTTACATCTACAGATGTCTATCAAATGTTGTGAATCATCCTTACAACGTCTTGAGTTGCACCAGTAATGGCCCAAAATGAATACGATAGTTTCTGTCCGTGATGAGTGCATGTAAACGTCCAACTGGTACTTTAACATTTTCTGTGGTTCTCCACAGAAAGTGTAGCTCAGCATCTCTTCATGTCTGCATAGGGTGTGGACGTGCCAAGCCTGTCTGCAGCCATCAGTCATTTCCTCAGTTGTCTTTTGGTTCATCACTTCACACCCTCTCCTGTCGGGGAGGAGGTTAAGAAAAAGTCACGGAGGCGTGGCCGTGGGGCCGGGGCCTCCGAGAGCACGCCCTGGAGCATGCTCACTGGAGCTGAGCTGTGGAATCTGGTCTGCCAAGATGCTGTTGAAACATATGATATCTCTGACTGCCTTGGGTGAGAAGTCACAGACCTCGCTCATTCACCCCCTTTGTGTGTTAAGCAATGATGAAGTTAATGCTTAACCCCAGCCCTTTTCTCATAGTTCAAGTCCGAATCACTTGGTGGAGAACTATGGGCTTCAAAAAGTCTCTTTGCTGAGAGAATTCTGTTTAAAGACCGGAGTGCAGGTAATCAAATATTCAGTTTTGTTTATTTGAATCAATACTTTGCAGTTCTAAAGATGCATTCAGGATAAGACACAACGCATGTATTAGAAACATCCTGAAAGCAACATAAACTCTCTGAAAACACCACTGAGAACTCTGTATCTGCACCAGCTGAGATTGAGAGACTTCGTCCTGGAGAACCAGAACAAAGCGCCTTTCAGTCCTGACGACATCCTTAACATCTTTCCTGTTGTTAAACACATCAAAATGCCGACTGCTGATGCTTCAAAGGTATACCGAGCTGCACAGACTTCCATCCAGAAGGGTATGTCTCTAAGAAAAGAAAAAACTATTGAGCATACTGTATGTTCAACATATGATTTTGAGTGGCTCTTATGTTTATGAATCCTCCATTCTGGTGTGTAGGTCTGCTAGATCAGGCCCACGAACAGCTGAAGGAAGCAACTTACCTGTATGGCAGAGTGTGTGATGATCTGGACCCTGAGGCCTGTAACTGTAACAGCTTGTTGGCCAAAGTCACTTTCCTACAGGGGAAAGCAGCTGAGGTACGCTCACAACTTCCAAACCTGTCAACTTCTGACAGTAATGACAGAGTATCAGCAGATTTTAAAGTATTCCAGTTATGGATAGCTGTGGCTGATTACTTAAAACGTTGCTTTGTGCATTACAAAGTATTAATCCTCTTGTAATGTTTTCACCTTCTGGCACATTACAAACATAAGCATACTTTAATGGTGTTTTAAGTAATTAACCAACATAAAGCAGTGCATAATTGAAATGTACAAACAATTGCCTTGAGAATTGTCAATTAGTTAGTAAATGTAGTTCCTCTGTGTGCAGGTTTATTTCAGCATCCATACACATTTACCAATGCAACGTTTCATAAAACTTTTCATCTAAACATTAAATAAATATGGCACAATTGCAGACCTAGCAAAACATAGCTGCCCACCTAAATTGGAAGGTCTTGAAAGGAGAGCATTACCAGAGAAGCAGAGATTCACAGCTCAAGAGGAAATATCAGTTGACAGATTCTGAGCTCCACAAGACGAAACCGTTCCATGAATCCCGGATTGACCTTGATTTTTTTTTTGTCCTTAAGGCTCGAAGTATTCAGCTGAAGACAGTGGTCATTAGTGAGAGGGTGCTTGGCTTTGACCATCCAAACACTATACAGCAATATGTGAGTACAGCTCCATGTAGATATTTATCATCACTGTTTACTCATCCGAGTTGTCACAGTGTGAATATTGTCACTGATGTGTGATTTATAGGCACTCCTAGCCGTGTATGCGTATGCCGGAGGGGAGACGGCCCTGGCTCAGAAATGTCTTCTCAGAGCTCGTCTGCTAATGTTGACGGTGCATGGAGAAGACCACCCGTACACCGCAACACTAGATGTAAGTCAAATCAAGTTTTTAAAGTCTAACAAAGAAGGAAACACAGGTTTTGCTCATGGTTCAGCTTTTCCCCCTACTTGTTTTCTGGTAGAGTTGTCTTGGTCTGGTGCTGACAGAAGATCAAACAGGGCAGTTCCTTAAGAATGCTCTGAAACTTAACACTTCATTTTTCGGCTCCACTGATCTGCATACCGCTCTTAGGTATGTTAATTATAGCTCACAATGGAAATGTGGCTTTAACTCAGTAGGTTTACTTACTACTTCCATTTTTTTCTGTGCAGCCACCACCTCTTGGCCCAGTGGATGTGCAGTAAAGGAGACTACAGAAGTGCTATGACACATGAGAAAGAAGCCCTCTCTGCCTTTACATCCTTGGTTCGTAACTCTGGGAGAAACCGTCAGAGGGCTCATTTTCTTTGTGCCTGTCTGCTTAAATTAACTTTCTATTCCAGTTTGGAGAAGATCACCCACAGACGAGCTGCAGCAAAGAGTTCCTGGGGACCATCACCAAGCAGGCAGTCAAAGTAGAACGCACTCTCAGACAGACAGGAAGTGAGTCTGCTGAGCAAACCGTTGAGGTAAGTGTAAGAGCTTGTGTGTATATATATATATATATATATATAATATATATATATATATATATATATATAGATTATCTAAAAGGTGTAAAAACATACTCAGGTTGTTGTATGTTCTTCTCTCAGTGTCTAAGCCCAACATCTGAAACTGTGCTGGAGCAGATGGTTCTAGTTACAGGGATCAGGAGGATTACACGCAGGTAAATATATTTCTAAAGACTGTAAGGTGTGAAATCAGAGATAAGAAACGATTATTAAAATGACTCGCAACAAATCTGTAGTTTGATTTATTAAAAAGATTTTGTAGGTTTTCTATTAATACCAATTTTTAATCTCTTTGTGTTTTTATAGTGATAGGTTCCAGGAGTATAAGCAGAAACACCTGGAACGAAAGGCTGCAGCAGCAAAGGAACTGGGATTCAAGCTCCCAATCTGGCCTGTCAACTCAAATCTTGTTAGCAGAGAAGATAAAAGCTTGGATAAAGAAAATGGGAAGGAAGCTGGTGACAAAGGAACCGAAGCAGAGAGCATGTCTACCGACAGTAGTGCAGGTGTCTTAGCTAACGGTCATGTGGTAGAGCCAGCTGAGCGAAGCAAACATGAAGAGAAAGCTGATGTGGATACTAATGGAGAAGTTGCAGATGGAGAAACCCAGACAGTGAATGGTGGTGAAATGCAGTCAGCTTCAGGGGGGGAAAATAGGGAAATAAATGGAGATGTAGAAACAATTCCCAGCCCATCTGCCATGAGTAGTAAACTAAGCTGGGCAGATATCGTTTCAAAATCTAGCAATGGAACTGGAGGCAAGGCAGTAAATGGAGTCACTGCTAATGGAGCAGCTGAAGAGTGAAAACACTGAAAACACACACAGGCTTGTAGGGCCGAGCTTTCTAAAGACACTGCTGTAAGATGAAACTAACCTTGGATTTAAAACGTAACATGTTCAAAACAACAGGAAATACAGGAAGGTATTTTTAACAAAGACGAGTATTCTTTCATGTTTGAGATGTTTCGCTGTCACGGATGCTGTGAGAAACTTGTTTGGCTGCAATTTATTTTTTTGTTTCAAAAATAAACTTTTTACTTTGCTGTAATGAACAAACTTAGTCTTCTATTAATAAAGCATCCTGGTTTTTGCTGCTTTTCCTGAAACTAGCATGAGCACAACAGTTAAAATCTTGTTTGCCAAGCGAGAGAAAAAAAGTCATTTTCCAGCAAATATTTGAACCATATTTCAGAAGTATATTCTGTTTTCTTGACAAAATGAAAGCATAGTGAGTTTAATATCAAGATTATCCTGAAGTCAAGTGTTTCTTTTAATGGAACTCTATGAAGTGATTGTGAACAATAAACACAGGTGTCTGTTCAGATGATGTTAACAAGGACAGACAACATGAATTGCAGCTGCCCACAAATCTGGGAAAAATTATGAGACAATATCCATCATTCTATAGTCAAAATATATTAGCAACAGGTAGAAATTCTTTAAGATGGTGACTAACTTTTATAGGAAGTTACCCAAGTAAAATTCACTCGCAGTGAATTTTACTTGGTTATTTACAGAACCTGTAAATAACCTTGGTGCCAACTCTCAGATGTCTTGGTAAGCATGTTAAGTGGTAAGTATACTGCAACAGTTAGAAAAAGTAATACCTCAAAATGGTCTTCAGTATTTAGCAATTACCTTTTAAATTAGTTTAATTAGATGCACTAGTTCTAGACGTACTAGTAGCGATGTTAATATTTGTCAAAATTTGCATCTTACATATCTGACATTTCGAACACAGTTCCTTTCAAGTTAGCTTTTGCAGAAAATATTGGTTGTCAGAACTTCACAGAACGGAAATAATCTTTTTGGTAATGCTACTGCAGTTCAAGAAAAAGAAACATTCAAAAATATGAAAGTAGTTAATAATAAACACTCAAAATAACAGTCATAAACTAATCCAATGAGAGTAATAACTGCTAAATGAAACCAAACCTTAACTAAATATTTTTCTTTCTTCTCCCAGAAAGCCTCAAAACAAACTTACGATGATGCTGATCTGTCAGATTGAGCATTTATTTTTTTAAAAAGGTGTGTAAATGTTAGGCTTCAAAATACATCCATTGTTAGCTAAGACCTGTCTCTGGAGAGTCTAAGACAGGTGTTTGTTTCAGTATAATTTCTAAATCTGAGCAATGTTGGTATTGTGGTTCAGGTGAGTCCGCCCAAGTAGATGAGGGGAGTTTGTTAAGTCGGTCTGAAGGAAAAGTGATAATTGCTGTATCACTGAAGATGTCTATCAGACGGGAAGGACAAGGCAGAAGTCTCTCTTCACACAAATCCACAGCTTTGCAGATGTAGCTGTAATCCCGCTTCAATTCCCTCTCGATGGTCCTGCAGGCAAAAGAGGAAAGAACGTCATCTTATCTCTGCCATCATTTGCAATATGGTCTCACTTCATTAATTCCTGGTACACACCTCTCTCTGATGCCGCTGAAGCAGTTTCCGATGATCGCAACCAGAGACAAACAGTGTGGGTTCCAGTTCTGCCACAGCAGATTGTTGTAAAGGGCTTTCCCACAGTGCATTAGATAAAATATGGTGGGCTTAGAGGCCAGGCGCTTCCCCTCCTTCACAATACAACAAAATAAGACGTTGTTTCTTCCATACAAATTGTTATTAAGTTATGATAAGGTGCAATAGCTGTAAATGTTGATGTCTGCCTAATCTACTACTATTAAAGTATTATTATAAATTACAGGCTGACAAATAGAAAACATAAAAAAGCTGACTGGATCTGTGATTTGATTCAGCTAAGTAGTAAAATATAATGCAGCTATCTTTAATATACATCCAACAGTGTCTGTTAGATGTGCAAGTCTGAACAAATAAAATGCATAAGCAGAAAAAAACTAACCTCATTTTCTGTGAGCACAGTCAACCCCAGCTCTCTTAAAATGTCCTTTTCTGCGACAGAGAATGCAGGATCATAAAGAGAGCAATCCTTCAAGGGAATCTACACAAAGAAACAGCAGCATACCATCTTAGATTAAAACACAATTTAATAAATCTGAGGTATAGCGCGGATGAAATTGATTCCCTCACATGTCCTGCATCCAGTAGCAGCAGCAACATGGCAAGCTGGTAGCGGGCTGAGACACACGAAGAAAAGCAGCCAAGGCCATAGCACACACACTCCAGCTGCTGGCCTCCTGTCGCCTCTGTGTCCCCGTCCTCCTGGCCTTCAGTCTTTACACTGTCTGAAGGTCTTGATGGGGATGTTGAAACTAGAAGCTGATCTAAAGACAAAATTTTCATCAGGGTGCTACCAAGATCCTTCAAGAACAAGGGTTCAGTCCCTGATAGAAGTATTCATTCCAACTAAGCCCTGGTTTGTTCACTTTATGAAATCCTCCAAAGCGCGCTTAAGTTTGTGACTGAATGTGACAATATGTGAAAAGGCTCAAGGGGAATAAATACTTTTGTAAGGCACTGTAAATACTTAGCTGTGCACAACACTTACTTTTCCACTGTTGCCAAAACTCTTCAGCTCTCAGCTCAGACCTAAAGGAGGACAAATAAAAGCAGTTAATAGTGTGTGATGCTAATCTGCTGAACTTCGGAAAGATTTAATCTCACAGATTCATTTCTTACACTGTATCTCGGATCCGTCTGACAAGTTTCTCAACATCCAGCTGCTCCTGAAGACATACAGAGGGGACTTGTTGGCGAGATCGAAATTTCCTTGATGCACCTTTTCCCCGTCGAACCACCTGCCACTCTTCTACAGAATCCGACGACATGTATATATTACTATGCAGACATATATTCAGGAATGTCATAAAAGGTATATTTTATGATGCATATTTTTATTGCAATCGTTGTCTGCTGGAGAGCGCATAGCCTGGGAAGCTGCCAGCACGAGGGATTATTTTGAGAACGACACAGAAGTTCCTCTTCCGGGGTCACGTCATTTTTTATTTTTTTTTTCAATTTAAAATGATAGTCAACAAATCAAAGGAGGCGCAAAATAACGTGTGTACAATATTGTGTGTAAAATATTGTACACACAATCGAAGTAACTAAAATCAAAATAATTTCTAAAATAATAATAAAAAAATGAAGTAATAAAATAATATAATATAATATAATCAATATTGATATATAAAATATATATTTTGTGCTTCTCAACAGAATAACTGGAATAAAAAAACAACAACAATTCAGTTGTTAACAGTAAAAACAGAACTTAAAACCTAAGTCGGGGAAAAACAGACTTTTATTTTTGTTCGTATTCATGCCTATGCTTTCGTTATGAACAAGAATTGATGTGACACCTGTAAACCGGAAGTACTTCGATCTGCTAAAACGACCGTTGTCGTTAGCAGAATTGTTTCTATTTTCTTATTTTAAAAAAACATGTTGTTGATCTCGAATAAGAATATTACATAAACTTTAACGTGAGTATGATAAAATAATTATATGTTTTTCAGTTTAAATTGTTTCAACGTACAGACGTATAGATTATGGCCCACGTTAGAATTTGCTAGTTAACATTAGCTTTCAGGTCGCCTAATTACTCTTTATTTGTTGTCGCTAAATGGCAACGTGTAAATATAATTTTTTCAACATTGTCTTTTTTTTGTTAATATTTTATTTGTTCTGGTTAACTATGAGCAAATCGCTGCTACAAAAACAATATCGTATTTGTAATCCTAGTTGTTACTTTTAAAGCAGTAACATTTATATTGTTTCTGAAGGGAAACGCAGTATTTTCTGACACTTTTAACACAAGTACAATATATATTTTTTCCCCCTCTGTTTTCAGTCACAAGTTTTGATTGCCATCAGGTCACCAATTTTCACATATTCTGTTTTGTTTTTTGTGTTTCCTGCCTCAACATTTAGATGTCCATGTCTCACCTTTACGGGCGGAGGGAAGAGGAGGAGGAAGGTGTGGAGATAGAGAGCTTTGAAGTGACAGACTGGGATCTGGCCAACGAGTTCAACCCGGAGCGTCGCAGGTTCAGGCAGACCAAGGAGCAGGCCACCTATGGCATCTGGGCTGACAGGGATTCAGATGAGGATGAGAGACCTAGCTTCGGAGGCAAGAGGTAGTGTCACCTAAGCTGATTTCTGTTCACAAATAGTAATAGGTTCAGTTAATGTGTTTTGTAAAAAATATTAATACCCATGGTCTTTTTCCAATATTACAATCACTAACTTATGTACCTTTAATTTAATATGTCAAACCAACACAAACTAGAGATCTGGTTTTATACAAATAAAAATGTTAAAATGTTACATTCATCACTATCTAACCCAGGTCCAACTCCTCCACAACTTTCTCCCTGACTTGTATGCTGCGTTACATGTTCATTAGCTAGTGTTGGCTGAGGCCTTCACAGATCAGCTGAAGTCATGCTGACATTAATTACACACAATAGGCTCTATTTACCAATAAGTTGACATCTGAATTCATTTTTTTACACTAGATTTTATTTAATATGTTGAATGCAAATATAGCAAACAAGATTATTTTGGCCTAGCATGTAAAAACTTATTAAACCTATTAATACATAGACCTTTGATGTAACATTAGTAAACTGGAAGATCTTGGAAATGGTAAAGCAATAATTGTTGTTAGCAGAATTGTTTCTATTTTCTAGTTTAAATAAAAACCGGTTGTTTTTTGCTAACAAAATAATTCATGGTTGGACAAAATGTGGAGCATTTTTATTATTCAAGGCACTGTAAATGGTTGTGACATTTTTTTTTCTCCAGGTCTAAAGACTACACTGCTCCAGTGAGCTTTGTGAGTGCTGGTGTGCGTAAGACTGCAGCTGAGGAGAAACAGCAGCAGCAAGAAGGAGGTTCTGATGACTCTGATGATGATTCCCCTCCAGTTCCTCCTCCTCCTCGTGCGACAGCTCCCAAAAAACTTCAGATGGTGAATTCATTTATGTCTGCATTTTGTCCATTTGCTAACCATTAATTTGAAGAAAATATAGGGAAGACTAGCAAGACCTTCTTTTAAAATGCTTTGTTTTTCTAGGGTACTTTTGGTGGGAATCAGTCCCAGAGGTTTGCAGGTGGCATACAATCTGGTAAAGGCATTGGAAACTGGGAGAAGCACACCAAGGGAATTGGACAGAAACTTCTGCAGAAAATGGGTTACCAGCCAGGAAAAGGTTTGGGCAAGAATGCTCAAGGTGGGTAGAACTGTCAGTGATATTGTCTTGTTGTGTCATTTTGTTTACATTTCAGAGGAGAGGTGGTGTAGTTGGGAAACTTTAACATGAAGTTCTCTGCCATTGCTGCAGGTATTGTGAACCCCATTGAGGCCAAAGTTCGTAAGGGAAAAGGAGCAGTTGGTGCTTATGGCAATGAGCGAACTCAGCAGAGCCTTCAGGACTTCCCCGTGGTTGACTCTGAGGAGGAGGAGGAAAAGGTAAACTACTGGAACAGATGTCGTCATTCACTCTTTTCCCATTTATATCCACTATGGCTTTTGCTTTTCATAACCTGTTTCCTGATCCCGCAGAGCCTCTTTAGCATGATTTGTTTTTGTTTTAAAGGAATTTAAGAAAGAGTTAGGCCAGTGGCGTAAGGATCCGGCTGGGACTGCAGGAAAGAAGAAGCCAAAGTACTCCTACAAAACTGCAGATGAGCTAAAAGCTAAAGGTAAAATGGCTTATCGGGGCACACCGGCATCTGCAGGAGAGCTGGCACAAGTCAAGGTATGTCAATGCCTTAGATTGGATTCCTTCATATATGTTCGCATGGATTACACAACAGTTTTGGGGGAGTTGGGCTAATGTGTTTAAGCTTAAAAATAAAGTTGCACTCACATTTATGGCCCTCACACACTAGAGTATTTTGTGAAGTATACATTCTTACTTTTTCAGGCATTGAAATCGTTCTTATTTATTCCTCCCCTCTCTCACATCATTGCTAGCTTTGAATGGTTTTATATGGATTCTTACTCATTAAATTTAGAAAGCAGGATTTTTGTTTATATGTTAGCAAATGAGTCATAGACGTAACAATGTTAATTTTTCACTGGGAATACTACCTCTGGAACAAAATGAAGAGTTTTGGGCATGAATATCTTGAACATGTGAGTCCATTGAAGCCTGCTATTTAGCGTTTTAAATGTATTTTTCCTATGTTTCTCCTGGTTAAGGTCATAGATATGACTGGCCGAGAGCAGAAGGTTTACTACAGCTACAGCCAGATATCCAACAAACACAGCGTTCCAGATGAAGCCCCACCAAGTCTGGCCACTCGCGATCAGAAAGGATCTGGCTTTGCTCTCCCTGAGCTCGAGCACAACCTGCAGCTTCTGATAGACCTCACAGAGCAGGACATTTTACAGGTGAGGGGAAACAGTGAAGTGCATTCAGCAGGAGCAAGACTTAATCTTCATAAAATATTAATAATCTGAGGTACAAATGTAAGAGTTACCAAACGGTTTCTAAGCTTCATTTCTTTCCCTGGTGCATGTTTTGCAGTCCGCCAGGCGTTTGCAGCATGAAAAAGACGTGGTTGTTTCTCTGAGCCACGAATCTCGAGCCTTGCAGAGTCGACTGGACACAGAGCAGAATGCCATTAAAAGAATGGAGACTGTGTTGGCCTTGGTGGAGCGATTTCCTACGGAGGAGACGGCCCCGGGCGAGGGACCAACCCTGCAGGTTTATGTTACACTGATTATACACTGTAGACCCTCTATCGTCAAGCATTTTGAGTTTTATCGTTCCAACCCTATTCTTTTAATCACTTCTTCTTCTTCCTCTGTTCAGGAGTGTGCCCGTATGTTTGAGACCCTGCAGACTGATTATTATGAAGAGTACAAGACAATGGGACTGGGGGACCTGGCTGTTGCTGTTGTACACCCGTTACTCAAAGAGAAACTCTCCTCCTGGGACCCTCTCAAGGTATTCTTCTGCTATCATCACAGCTGAAGAAAATGATGACATTTTTAAGTGATACTGCCAACAGGACAGCTCATATTGTTTGTCTGATTATTTCAGGACAGCTCATATTGTCTGGAAGACATTGGTCAGTGGAGAGCAATCCTCGAGTCCCAGGACATGCACTCCAGTGGTCCACATTCAAACATGGATCCATACCACAGGTGATTTTAAACAAAAAAGAGAGACTCAGATGTGCCTCGTGAAGAATTTGTGCCAAACAGAATTTCTATCTAGTCTTAATTGACATGAGTTTCTCATTAATTTTGGGCTTTTAACAAAACATTTAAAACATAATTCTCTTTTTGTGGGCAGAGTAATCACACAATTAGAGAATTTTAAATACAAAAAGTAAATGCACAAATTAGAATTTGATAATATTCTTTAATCCCCACTGTAATCTTAAATATAAATTATGATATTTAGGTAAATCCTACTTAGCAGCTTGCAGATACATTTTGCACCCATGGAAAACTGGCCTAATTCTGATATATTTGATAGTTCTTTTTATTAAACTATTAGTATGGGGCGAATGTATATGCATTTCTAAATATATTTCTAAATAAATGTTATCCTATTTACATTAGAGAAGTCCTCAGTCAATTAAAATATGTAAAATAAATTCTTGTTTGCAAAATTCAAGTTGTGTCAATGTTTATAAACATGTATTAAAACACCTTATTTAACAGCAGTTGTGCTGATTATAAGAGGATGTCAACTTCTGCCACTATATTTCAGTTTGTGTTTGTAAAGTGTGTGATGTGCGTTTATTCATCCAGACTGTTATGGGAGGTGTGGATCCCAGTGATGCGCTCCTGTGTGTCCAACTGGCAGCCTCGACTCGTTGGGCCCATGGTGGACTGTTTGGATTTGTGGACCCCTATTCTCCCCCCATGGATCCTAGATCAGCTGCTGGAGCAGATGATCTTACCCCGACTGCAGCGAGAGGCA